ATTTTTATTCTGTCGTTTCATGCTTCAAGAATTAGATATTCTCAAATTACTTCTCTTATTGGTACATAATTTCCACGCGCATCTCATGATTTCACGAATACGGTCCATTAAATTAAATTTCACATATCTTAATGATTGCTTCAATATAATTCTATAATATGATACAGGCATAGCAGACGGAAGCTATTTCTTTAGACTTTACCCAATCTTGTTATGAACGTAAGTTAATTTATTCCAATCCATGAACATCAAATTACACGGTTGAATGAGTCATCTTAATGTATCAGAGTCAATAATTATGCTATTTATGTGCTTTCATTTCATACTAGTCCATACTCCATAGCCATATATTTGCAGGATTTTAGCTTCATACGACTTTGACAATCATAAATCCAATCTCTATGTATGTAGCCATTAATTCTATAGTAGGATGAGTCTGCATTAATTGGCTAGTTGCTTCCTCTGGTTGTGTATTATATATATTACATGTTGTTCATTAATTTATTGATAAATATATATACCTTAATTTTCTCTTTATAAGAGAACACATTTTCATAGTTTCAAGTTGTCTCAAACTTGACCAATTCATCCCAGTGGAAATCTCTCTCTCTCTCTCTCTTTTTTCTTCGTAGTAAAAAAAATCATAAAAAGCTTGACAATTATTAAACGGCAGTGATAATAGCAATTAAGAAGGCAACGTGCATGTTTCACAACGTAGAGAGTATATGATTAGAAGATGACTGATTCTCCTAAGAAAGAATCAATTAAGTTGATGAGAGGGTTTGGTATTCGGCGTATGGTACGGGATACATGCACTTCCAAACGCCAATTACTTACATATGTTGATTGGTGATTGGACGTTAGGGTTTGGTTACATGTACATTCCCCGCTTCTCAAATATTAATTGTGACATATCTACGAAAATCATCTATTCTAAGTGTCCCAAGTGTACAACAGTTATCAAACACGTTCTTGTGCCTTCCGCGAAGGATCCATATATGACAACGTGTCATGTGCGCATGTAGTCTCAGTGCCTCGAACCAACCTTCATCCCAAGTCAATCTCAAGTCAAATATCTTTTTGTCGCCATCACTTCATTATTATATTATCATCATCTCCATCTTAATGTGTACACACACTCACAAGTCTCGCATTTTTCTTCATGTTGTAGTTGTAATTACTGAGTTGCACCAATTAAAATAAAATTTCTATCAAATATCTCATTAGATTAGTGAAGTTTTGAAACACGGTATGTAACCGTATAAGACCTTGAGAATAGACCACAATGAATAGGATTGTAAATAATCTAATATTAACATGGATGGATTGCTTTTGGTGACTGGATGAACAAAAATAGAATAGTCCAAACGCGCAGAACCTGACTTAGACATTACTAGACTCTAAAAACTTGTGGAAATACAAATAACACTTCTTGATTAAGCATTTATTTGGATATGTATTGATAAATCATCGTGAATTTATAAAATTAATTTTGAATAAATGTGAGTCAAAATTAATAAGATTCATTTGGATAATAAAGGATAAAGACTTATTTTCATATTAAATGTTGTTTGAATTTTATCAAAATTTATTTTCAGTGTATAATTATAAACTCGAGTAGATAAAATTACTGATAATTATTTCTAAGTAAATCTAAATTTTCACATATTGAAATTAATTTTGTTAATAATCAAACATATTATATAAATTTGATTCTAGTTATTTAAAATGTAATAGAATTAATTTTAAACATATTTGATGTGAAACTGAGGTGTCCTAAATATATTTGGATCTTTATCAACTTCATCGACAGCGTAAACTCAGCTATACACTTATGCATCATCCTCATTGAATAACGTAAACTCATAAAAGGAACAACGTTAATATAAAAAAGAGATACACACCCACGACCACAAGGTTAAGAGTCTATTCAGTGTGCATGACAAACGAATGTTTTATTTTTTACGATAAAAGTCTACAATGAAAAAACATAAGAACATAAGAAAAATCGAATTTAATTTGAAATCTTAACTATTAGGAATGAATGAACTTAACTAAAGTGTCTCAGCCTTGCGGGATTTGACAAACTGCGATATGATTCTAAGTTTTTTTATACTTTCATCAAAAACAATTTTAATTCGGTGGTCGGCAGGACACGTAGCCATTGATCCTAATTATGGCCAGCAAACTTGGTCAACTTCTGCCAACGTTGCTGCTTATATTTTAGTGGCACGTTCACATTAGTTTTCACGAGATCTATATAAAATAATTTTCTTATACTAAATTAATCTCATGGACCTTGTGCAACCAGAACTACTCTCCCAATTGCCACTACTCCAGTTCCACTGTTCCAGGCTTTTCCCGGGTCAGTGTCAAAGATTTGAGAGACGAAAATTAGTCTTGGATATTGGAGAACCATTTGCAATAAAACAGTTATAAATTAGAGAAAGTTAACGTAAATATGGCAAATACAAACGTACTTTTCACATGAAGGAAGTGCTTATTTCATTATATAAATAAAAAATTAGTCAAGTTCTTCCCGTCTCTTATGTGTGTGACCTTGTGTATCCTATAGCACTAGGAGTTAGCCCTTTTTTAAACTAATGGACACAATATTATATTGAAGTAATAAATAATAAAAATTATATAAAGCATGAACAACTAACTCAATTTAATGTTATTAACATTAGAATTTAAAAATAAAACAGCGAGCATTAATCCCAAGATAACAATAGCACGTGTTAATGGGATCATATTCACGTTGTAGAAGAGTGGATTAAAAATTAATCCTCCTATTGTTTAGGGACAATTACACGAGGATGAAACTTATAAGCGTCATTGGTAACAAATCAAGGCCCAAAACTATTTATAGGGGTAAAAATTTCATTCCCTGCAATAATGCAAAGGCAGCTTGAATAAGCTGTCAAATTCGTAAGACAGTTAAATAATTTAAAAATAATTAAAAGTTTCTTATTCTAAGTATATAAGATAATTTGACATCTATTTCTTATAAATTTTAAAATTAATATAATATATTCATTTTAAAATATATAAAAATATGTACATTTTAATTATTTTTAAATTATTTAATTTTAATAAAATTTAACAAACATACAAGATAATATAAAATTATAATTTAATAATTAGATCATATTTAATATAAAATTATTAAATAATATAATAATTAATAAAAATTACACTAATATTATTTAAACTCTATATATATATAATTATGGCTTAACATATTGTAGCATGTCAAAATCATAATTAATGAAAACGACAAAATTTAGAAGATGTAGCAAGAGATTCAAAATTGAAATAAATTAAATTGTCTATCCATTGTATCGTGAGGCTCCTCTTCATTAGGTGTAGACTATCGTTGTTTCCATTTACTGCATCTTTCTCAGCAGTAAGCTTTCTATCAGTATCCAATTTTTTTGTTTCACTCTCGTCAACCTAAACCTATTAACATTTAAAAGGATGAAAACATATAATAAATAACTCCTGTTGTAAAAAAATAAATAAATATGTGCTGCAATGGCTCAAAGCGTCACATTTATAAAAATAAAAATAAAAAAATTTCACAATGGGCTCTTGCGCCACTTTTGAAAAAAATAATGCCCCTACAAGAGACTATTATGAGATAAATAAAAATAAAATAAAATAAGGTGTTACTAGAATCTATTGATACCATATTTTTAAGTGCTTGGTGATCATAGATAAATGATCTTTCATTCAAATAAAAATTATTTAATAAAAATTATAAAAGTACACTTTAAAGGTGAATTCTCAAACTCTTAGGAATCGTTTGATATGTAGAATGTTTTTATTTTCTTGAAAATCTTAAATTGAGAATCTTGATTTTCTATGTTTAGTATCTATTTAAAAAATAAATAAGTTTTCAAGAATATAATTTTTCAAAAATTATTTTTATCTCACTTTTCTATAAAAATATTCCCATCGGGGTGGAAATCTAACTTTCCTGAGAGAAAGTTTCATGCATATAAAAAGACCACAGTATTTCTTTTTAAAACATAAAACTTTTTTCCTATTTCTCTTTCTTCCCCTCTTTCTCTCTCTCTCTCCCTTTCCCTTTCCTTTTCCCTTCGCTCTCTCTTTTTTTATTTTTCTTTTTCTTTCTCCCTCTCACTCCCCCTCTCTTCCTCTCCCTTTTTCTCTTTCTTGGCTTTCATTATCTCCTCATTTTGTCAATTTTAATAATATTATTAAAGTATATTTTGTTAGTCTATTTTGTTTTTACAGTTTGATATTTGGTAACACTTATTTATTTATTTGAATAAAATAAAATAATATATTTTTATCCTTCTTAATTATTATGTAATATTCTTTTTTATCTCTTTTGTTGAAATATATATTTAAATGATTTTCACTATAAGTTTTCAAATTTTTAAATTAGTTTAATGTCATATTTGAAATAAAATTTGAGTAAATAAATATATTTAATAAGTTTATTTTAATAAAGGATATTCTTGTAAAAAATATTTATATACCCAAGAATATATTATTGTAACCAAACATAAAAATATTTAATTATCATAATCTTGTATGAATATTCCTAGGAATCATGATTCTCAAGAACCAAACATATTTTAATTATTCTCAAGAATCATGATTCATAAATCTGTAATTCTTAGGAATATCATGATTTTTGTGTATGAAAAAATTTCTTGATAGTGTGTCGTCTTAGAAATCATGATTCTTAAAATTTGTAATTTCAAAAAATTATGATTCTTGTGTATGAAAAAACTTCTCTCCTATTAAATGTCCTCTTAGTGTGGTTTTTGGTAATGTGTAATCTATGAAGAAGTGATTGTTCCTCTCATGAAATCTTTTAATTTTTAATGAAAACATTTTTTAAAGAAAAAATTACACTCATAAAACCCCAAGTCCCAACAGTGGTAGAAATGTGTGGCTTAAATTCAGAGATTTAGGTGTAATTGTTTTTAGGGAGGGAGGGTATACAGAATTTGCATCAAGAATGTAGAATAAGTATTATTATTACAAGAAAATATGTGCCGGTGTATATTCTACTTTCCTTGTATGAACAATTTTTTGAATTACATTCTTAGATACAGAATCATGAACAACCTAGAGCTCAATGATGTAAAATCTACAACCGATTGATCGTGATCACTGCCTTGTAGAAGTCGTATTTAATGTTATTAACAAACATTTACAAACTGACTATTTTCTTCTATGCAAATATCTTTGTGAAATGGTTAGAGTTAGATTTGGTAAACCATACCAACTTCTAGCAAAGAAGTATGAGCTACGTTCAGAAAAACATCAGGATCTCTGCAATTTTTGCTTAGGAAAGCATAAACAACATCTATGGCAAATTTCTTTAGAATGGAGGATGATTTCTTTGCCTCTGCATAGGAATGTCCAAGTATATAGGTAACACCTGACTCCTTGGCCTTTAAAATCTGCATAGACTCGTCTTTATAGGGAGACTCTTGAAGATGTTCATCATCATTCTTCTTCACACGTAAAACGCATGAAAATGGGAAGTTTTTCTCTACACAACATGAGCTATGCAAAGTGTGTTGTGAAACACCAAGGTGTGCCACATTTAAGTTTCCACCATCCATACACAATTCTTGTTGTGTTGGTTCTGGAGCACTCTCCATTTCTACAAACTGTATTATTGTACTTACCAATTTGTTCTCAAAATTGTAGTTCTCTTGTTGCAGATCCTTGTAACCATACCTGACAATGCAACAAAACATCTGGTACTCCTTCGGGCCGATCCTGCTGATGATCAACCGTTCATTGTCGCAGACACAAGGAACTTGAACTGATTTGACACATACAAAAACTAGCACTTGATGGAATGCTGGCAAGTTTGTAACGAAATGGCCAAAAATAGCAGGAACACCTGAAGCCAGATTACTGAAAATGATTCCTATTCCGGGGACACGAACCATGCCTAAGCAAGGCCCCAAGGATAGGATCTTGCTTGTTGAAACCTTGTTTTCCACATCAAATTCATGTTTCTTCATTGTTCCATAGTTCCAAGTGAACATTATACTCATAAAGATAAAAGATAGCACAAGGGGGATCCATCCTCCTTCAGGGGCTTTGCAGATAGAAGCTGAGATGTAGAGCAGTTCAATTGATCCAAACAACAGCAAACATATAATGGCTTTTATTATTCCTTGCTTCCAAACAATGACCATTACTAGTGTCATCAAGCATGTTGTCACAAACATGACAGTGGTGATAGCCAACCCTACAAACCAAGCAAAATAATTAGAAATTACTTGTCAATACTTCAAATGTGGAAGAACATATGCTAAAGTTTTGATGATGCCAAAATATTGAAGAAAATAAAGGTCAAGTTAAAGCAAACTGATCAAGAAGCAAGATCTCAAGTAATAACTAGCTAAGCATTGCTTGATTAGATTAGTATGTAAAATGAACTTTTAGAATTTACAAATTTCACTCATTAAAATAAGGATTTCAAGAAAACCTAAACTTAATCTTTTTGAATATAAAAATAAGTTGTTTGAAAAGAAAGTAAAAAGAGCATTCAAAAGATTAAACAAAAATATTTTTAATTGAAAAATAGAAGCTTTCTATATTTTAAGTTTTCATAAGCTAATTTTGGTATTATCAGTCTGGTAGAAGATGAAAACTTATCTGTTCAAAATTGAAATGTTAAACGTGCTCTGGTAATTGATTACCAGTTCTTGTAATCGATTACCAGAAAATGAAACTTCAAAATTTGAATTTAAATTATACAACGTTTCAAACATTTTGAACTTAAACTGTAATCAATTACCAAGTCTTGTAATCGATTACCAGAGCCTATTTTTTGAAAAATTATAGAAAATTACAACTCTTCATGAAAAGACATAACCTAAGAAACAATTGTCTATAAATACCTATAATTTTTCAGAAAAAGGTTACGAACTCTATTGTGAAAATCATTTACAAAAACTACTTGGCCAAAGTCATTTGCAAAATCTCTTAAGAGTTCTTTAAGATCATCAAAGTGTAATATCTACTCTTCAAAGAGAGTCATTCTATAAAACTCGATTGATCATTGGATCTGTAAAGGAGAAAAAGGTTTTGCTCCCTGTTAGTTTTTGAATATCAACACAAGGAAAGGGAGTTCCGAGGTATTTGAGGATTCAAGTCTTGTAAGTTTTACAAGAGTAGTAAAAATCTCAAGTGGGAGACTTGAGGACTGGATGGAGGCAGGATTGGCCGAACCAGTATAAAATCAAGTTTGCAATTCTTCTTCGCTACACTTTTATTTATTTGTTATTTAATTGTGTTTGAGTTGATCTATATCATCATTCTTTACATACAAATTTGTTTAAGGAAATAAATTGATAAGAAAGTAATGAAAAAGTTTTTACAAGAGAAAAATTTAAAAAACTTAATTCACTCTTCCCCTTCTTAAGTTATACGACACTAAGTGACTAATAAATATTATAAGTAAACATACTAGAAAAGAATAAAGAAGTGTACCATATGCATGACCCATCATGTTTGTATCCCTTAGGCCAATTGTGACGGCTAAACAAAGGCACATTAATGTCCAATTGACTTCTGGGACATAAATTTGTCCGTATATTCTGCTTGATGTATGAACAATCTTAACTGGAGGAAAACAATTTAATGCACAACACTGGCTTATGATGGAAAAGGTTGCAGAAATCACTGCTTGACTTCCAACAATGGCAGCAAAAGTGGCCACTATGAAAACTGGCCAAAATACAGTTTCTGCAGAAAATAGTAGCACAATTACACTAGAGGCGCCATAAATAACATTTGACAGCTTGTGGTTTCTCGAAATAATTTCTTGCCTGGAATGGCTTTGTAGAAACTTCCTTGAATGTCATAATGGTGCTTTGAGAGAAATGCAGCCTCACCCATATATGCCAAAATCAGGCAGGGATACACTAGACATGTGAAAGCAATCTGAGATTTAAGAACAACTGTTAAAAGTATATCTCATTATGGTATGGTAAACTAGTCCACCAGGATCAACATAGTTAATCATTCAAATATCTATTTACCTTTATTGAGAGTGCTGAAAAATGACCCAAGTCAGCATACATTGTCTCCACCCCTGAGAGTATCACACATGCAAATTAATTCCACTAGGACCACTACTCTTTAGCTGTTAATAAAATTATGTTATAGGTACCTGTGATTGAAAGTACCACTCCACCCAATGACATCCATCCTTCAATGCCAGTGGTTTTGAGGAACCTCAACATGTAGAGTGGAGAAAGTGCACGGTATATTTGTCGGTTCCAGTGGAATATGTTGTATATACCAATACCACTGATGCACAAAAGCCATGCTGCAACAACTGGGGCAAACATGAAAGCAACTCTGTGTGTTCCATGATGTTGAATGGAAAAGATGGCGACTAAAATGACACATGAGATTATGACAACATAATCTGCAGAAATAATGTAGAGATTTAAAAATTGTGAACAGGATAATGTTAATGAAAGAAGCTTGGTGGGCTTACTGTCATGGAGTTCTTTGATCTTAACTTGAACTCCTGAAACTGCAGAAAAAACTGAAAGGAGACACAAGGGATGTTCATAGATCCAAAGGAGAAACAAATACAAATGTTTGTACAAATATCAACTCCTGAGCTAACTCCTATAATCTCATGATAAATAAACTAAACCTAGAAAACGAAAAATAAAGATCCAAGAACTTGGCGAAGTGGCATAAATCTCTTGATGTAATGCAGAAGTAATTCCTTTTGCTAAGAAATATTAAAATAGTAATTTTCTAAAGTACCCACAAAATTGTAAAACATCTCAGTTTTTATATCTTATTCTCTCACTTTTTTCTGCAAATTTGCATAGCTTTGAACACTCCATTGTAAAATACTTGTCAAACAATAACTGTTGGTAAGGAATTCACCAGTAGCCTCCAAATTCCTTATTATTATGTGATAATTAACAACCTACCATTTTGCCACAGAAAATACTGCACTCCAAAAGGGTCGTTTGCTAGATTAATATGATATTTGAAATATAATGTTCTTGGGCAAGAGACCCCTAAGAAAAACATGTTTCACAGAATAAATCTTCCTTGAAAGTAGAATAATTTTTGCCTTTCTAATCAGAAAAATAGAAAATATCAATAACCTTCAGTAATTTATTTTCCCTTTCCTTGCTAGTAAAAACTTAGACTATATCACATAACACATCTCGAATTAATTCCGGAAATGAGTAATCAGCTAAAGCTACCATTTTAAGGGAAGCATTGATGTATTTATAATAGTCAATGATGGATCACATACTTCATGTGTTAGTGGCTGCTGTTCACCAACTACCTGATATTGCAGGAGTTATCACACCATCACCAATTGTCATACAGGTTCCCAGCAGAACAAAGATCAGCAGTCCTTTCTGGAACCTTGGGTGCTTTTCAAATAACAACTTCAAATGAGCAGAAAGCCATGTGTCTGCAGAATCTTCTGTGGTATAAGCAGACAACTTCTCATCTGTTGGTTGCTGATTAGGCAAAATGCTTAGCCTTGCGTGCCTGCAAAGAAGTGAGTATAATGCAAAGGTACCTCCTGCACAAGGGAACCATTGATTCCAAAAGGATTTAACTAATTATCCTCAGCAACATGATAAATTCTCAGAGGCTCACGGAGCAAGAAGTTTCTTGCTCTCTAAAATTGAGAGAAAATGATGACTCATTTAGCAAACTTTTCACCATACAAAATACAGGGATGAAGTGACAAGAAATTTCTATAATTCTATCGTAAAAACATAATAAGTGGTAGTTAGTCACAAGATCACGATTCAAGATTTTACCTTCCCCATTGTCATCAGCAGACATCACAATCAAAACGTATTTGAAGAGAGCAATAATGGTAAATGTCCAGAAGATAAATGAAAGCACGCCAAAAATCTCCTCATCATCTTCTTTGAGCCTCAATTTCCCTGAGAATGTGGTTTTGTAAACATAAAGAGGAGAAGTGCTGAGGTCACCATAAACTATTCCAAGACTTTGATAAGCCAGAGTGAGAACAGTTGTACAAGATGATCCCTTAAAATTCTGATACAGGAAACCAAAAATAAGAAACTAGTAATATACAATGAACATTTAACCTTAGCCAAGTGCCATATAGCCCATATGACAAAGTAAATAAAATTTCTATTCAAGCATTCTATAAACATCTGAGTATCATGACCATATGTGAGAGCAGCATCCAGATCATTATCTTTTTTAAATTTAAAAACAGAAATGCTAGAATTAAGATTTTTCTCAAATTAAACCCTGCTATGGACAACATTCTTCATAATTCAAAACACAAACATTAATCAAATATGAAAAATTGAAGAAATAAAATAAATAGAGGAATCAGAAGCAGTTAGAAATAGCAAAATGAGGATTCAATGCAATGCTAATATGACACACATGCAATGCCAAAAGCCAGTGAATAATTAGAAAACATCAAGAAAAGGACACTGATGCCTTTAAAATCCCAAGTAGAACATGGCAATGTCCTTCTTATACACATAAGGGGAACAAGAACACTATCAATACAACATCTTATTAGTTGTCAATACAACAGACAAAACCCCATTTAGCTCGAAGTATCAAACATATGCATCAGTCCATGGAAGTTCACAACCTTAAAAACACTTTAGACAACATGGGAAAACATGAAGACATTCACAGAATAATGACCATGTAGAAATGGATCAGTTAATAAAAAGGTTGACAAGAGATCATGCAAGTATTGAGGGGTGGTACTGTGGTAGTTTCTTTAGTTGAGACTTTTGAGTGCTAGAACCAAAAAAATAAGAAAAAGAGTACCTGCTGAGACACTCCATGTTCCACAAATTGCTGAGAGGGGTTCATTGCTGAAAGAGAAGGAAAAGTGAGGATGATGCAAAAGCAAAAAGATGAGGTCATGAGACAGAGAGAGAGATTATATATATAGAAGGAATGGATAGAGAATAGAGGGAATGAACAGTAGAAGAAGTGAAGTAGAAAGGCAAGTGGTGTGTGTCCAAAGAAGTTGCAAAATGCATTCAATGCTCTTTAACTCTCTCTTGCTCGACTTATTAACCAACCTAACACCTTCCCCACACCCCCTCAAAATCAATGTTAAACAACTTTTTCTCCCTCCAAATACTAATTCTAAATACTATTTTCACATCAACTGAACATTATAGTAGTACATCCTTAGATTAATGTTTATATCCTAAACAATAAATGTAAATTTACTCTCCAAAGCCATGAACTGAAATTCAATAGTTAGCTCCATTGTTGGTACTTACAGGTATTTTTTGGTATAATATATTTGTAGGTTTTGTGATCTGGTACATATCTCTTTCCTTATTTCAAGTAACTGGCATTTTCATTTCATAATTATAATTTATGATTTTCGTAAATCGTAAGTGCTATAGTTCTAAATGATAACAGACATAAATCTAACAAGAAACATTCTTTTTTAAGGCAGAATATTCACAATATGATGGACTAGTTTTGTAATATTTGTTTTCCATACACAAGATATGAACAATAAACTCAAGAACGTAACATTAGAACTAACCATCTATTGGTAAAATAAAATAAAAATTCTCTGCTGCAATTTATTATTACCGAGCTTTGTTAATACTTAATAGTTTGAGCTAGCAAGATTACTTAGCCAATGTTTGGTAAAGGAAAAGAGCGGGGAGGGGGAGATTTTAAATTTTTAAATTAAGATAGTTATTAGTTATATAGAGTTTATAAAAATAAATAAAAGATGAGATGTTAAATTTATGTTAATCTATCATAATTTAATTAAAATACACCGGCAATGTAAATTTGTTTGTGTCATCATTTAATCATATTGTTAAATATACTAATATTTTTAATTTTTGTAACAATTATTTTAGAAGCCATACTTGAGATGGTTTTCTAGTATTTTGATCGTTAAAAAAATTTTACACAAAAAATGTATAAGAAATTATACTCAAACCTATTATTTTATTTTTCATTTTAAAATTATAAAATATTTATTAGAAGTGAAAAATTTACTCTCTTCCTTTTCTTCCAAAACCCAACTTTGAAACATTCAAGAGATTTTGAATTGAAGTATTTTTGTTTGCTCAAACATAGAGGAATAATGAGAAGGGAGAAATGAAAACATAATTCGGATATCTTAAAAGGGGTAATTGATGACCGACTTCAATTTTCCAAGTGGGGCATCTTAATAATTAATTAGGAACATTGAAGTAGATGAATGTCTGGTCTTCATTGACCTTATGATCACATCCAATAATGGAAAAGAGGTTACCCTGTGCAAAGTTCCACAATAATAAGAGCAAACATTTCCTTTCTTATTAAAAACAACTTCTGGTAAACCTGAATTAGGCACCCATAGTATGATGCTAACAACCTACCAAACTTTAAACATTCAAAAGATCCTAAGAAGACTTCTATAAGTCTTCCCTTTTCTTCCAATCGTTTATTTTTTTCGTGTAAAGGTTTCTTTTAATCTATTGGACTTAAAAACTAATTCTACTCGCAAGTAATTGTTGCTAGTTTAAAAGATTTTTGTACGACAAAAATCAAATACACAAACTTCTCCGAAATAAATTGCTCCAACCATATATTATGTGTTTGGATAAAAGTTGAGTCCAACTCAACCATTTTTATTTCAAAACAATAACCTTATTATTTTTGAATTTCATATATTAAAAAGTAAAAATACATATTTTTATATTTTGAAACGGATATCCAAACACATCCATGTAAGCATAACTAATTTATTAATCCATGAGTTTTCTTCCCTTTTCGTGCTTCACTATCTCATATTTATCCAAGTTAGTTTTCTAGTAACACTTTAATTAAAATATGCATATATTTACATGTGATCCACTTATGAGATTGAGAAAACGAAAATGTGGGTCCTATAATTTCAAGAACTATATATCACCCCAAATATCTATCTTTCTCTGACTTCACATGCAAATCAATGTTAGGTGATCCAAATCCATTGTCATACTTTGTTATATATAATTCCATTTGGCATTTTTCATACATCTAGAGATAGGTATTTAACGGCCGAGACATCAATTATATGCCAAAAAATTATTATATGCTAAAATACATATCCTCTCCCTTTCTTTTTTTCCTTGTGAGCATGTAAATATGTGCCACCGTGCTAGAGGAAATGGAAAGAGAATTGAAATTTCATATATCTATTGATTATATCATTCACCAACAATAAGGTAAGTGGCCTTTCACAAGTGATTGAAAATAACGAGTCAATATATTTTGGAATCTCGGGGCATGATCGACTTACTTCTTAGGTATATAATTGAAGACATTGAAAGCTTTGATTATTTTACAATATCAACTAATAATTGGATTTCAACATCACATATCGACGAAACATTGTTATGAAAAATGATTTTGCTAATCATTGTTCTTAGGAAATAGTTAAAGAATTAATAATATTTTATAAAAAAAAGTATGATAATTTAATGTTATTAATATGTTATTAACGTCATTTTTAAGAATTTAATAAGTGACATTATCAAGTGTGAACCAAATGAAAAGTACCATAAATGACTTTTAAAATTTAAAAAAAAAAAAAAACTGTGGATATACTAGAAAGGACTAGTTCCTGCGATATAGTGAACCAACAATTGAATTCATGCTAGGAATGGGGTTCACATTTTTGCTTTACTTAATTTGGTGGAAACAAGGAAGAATGGTTTAGAGGAGATGAAAAGTAGTTACTTTTTTTTTTCTTCTTTCATTTCCTTTTTTTTCTTTATTTTTTCCTAAACTAAACACACTCTTATTATCTAATTGTGCCTCAAAATACTTATCTAAAAAATACATGTAAGAAAAAAAACAATTTATCATTAAATAACAATGTTAAAATGTATTTTAATTAAATTTTATTTTAATATATTGATTAAGGTGTACCGATTATTGAAATGCTCATTTACCTTTTACCAGTAGTCTTTTATATGTATAAATATTTATATTTATACATACTTTTTTTTATTTCTTTCGAGATTAGTCTTTTCTTTATTTCTTTTATATATATATATAGAGACAAGTTTATGGCTATTGCTTTTGCTTTATGGGTGTGGTGGTTGATTCTTTTCATATTTTGAAAGCGGGCTTCTTACATGCTAATATTTACTTGTTAGGTACGAGCTGCAATTAAAGTGAAGGCTTCTATTATAATTTGTTTCACTTCA